GAAGTAGTGTTTAGTATACACAAAAGACTAGTTTGGCATAAGAAAATAAAAATAACAAAAACAAATTTATATGATACAAACACAAAAAGTAATTCATGAAAAACTAATTGTATTAAAATAAAATTGTAGTTTTTTAAAAGCAAAAAAGCAGTGGGAAATTAGTAATAAATTTAAAATGAATGAGAATATTGTATTTGAACAAGAAACATAAAAAAGTAGTGAACCAGTAAATTTAGTAATAAAAAATGCTAATAAGCGTGCGTTAAATTTTAAGTATTTATTGATTTACTTAAAATTTAACGCATAATAACAAATAAACAAGAAGAAAGTAGTTTTATATGAAAGTTGAAACAAGAAACTAAATAAAAAAGTAACAACTGACTTGTATTAGTAAGAAAGAAACTGAAAACCCAACAACAACACAAAACCGACACACATTAATTATTTAAGTGATTATAGCGAATCTAATACGTTAACTGAAAATAATGAGTTATTGAACTTAAAAGAAAACTTTGAAAAACTGCTAACAACAACAATAGTTACATACAAAAAGAAAAGCAAAAATTAATTATTATTTTGTTTTTCATTTTACGTTTTGGGGTTTGTTGCATTCGTATGCTTTGCTTTAAAGTTAATAAAGAGAAATAATAAATTCTAATATGAAAGTACATGCTGCTGTGTTTGCTCGAGATTGTTTGTATTTGTGATTTAAATTTTAAATTGAACTAAAATAAAATTAATTTTGAAAAACCAACCACTGCAAGCAACTAAATTCGAATAATTTCAAAAAACAACAGGCATATTTACATAGTTAAAGTGTTAAAGCAAAACCAGCCTGAATATGACCAACTGACACCCCGGGTTATTAGACATTTTCCCCAAAGAGCGCTGCACATGCGCTTGATTTCATTTCACCATTTTCAACACTGATTTCTTCCAACTGAGCGCAATTATTTTATAGCAAAAATATTTATGTCTTACCGAGTTTCTAAAGGAGCTTTAACAACTTTCCACGACAAAGCACTTCCAATATATAAAAGAGGGAATGGAAATTTAAAACAAAATTATGTAAACATTTGATAATTAAAACTGGCAAACAAAGCCTAAAAAAATTGTATATAGTTTCTAACTAGCGTGCATAAAAGAAACCACAACATTCCACAATGCATTACTTGTCACCCTTTTGTTTGGCATAAAAAAAAATATTTCTAATCTATATTTAGATTACAAAACAATAACCAAAATTTATGATCCTCTAACTGCACTATCCGTGCAACAAATGTCTTCCTTTTATATATATTGAATTCAAAATAACCATTATAGTAAAGAATTCATATACAATAAAGAATGATATTTTTAATATATATACACATTATCTAATTATATACATACGTACATATGTACATAAATTTATGTATTTTTAGGCACATATACATAAAGACTTTAAGGATCATAAATAGCCAATACTCAAACTTTTAGCCAAAAAAAACGTTATTTGTTTGCTACAATTTTGAAAAGTCGTTTGAATGGGCTGATAAATTTTAAAGCTCAAATGCCTAGTTATTCGAATTGTTTACATAATATAAGTTCTAGAATCCAAAATCCCTTACATGTAGTCATTTTTGCAAATTTTATGATTTTTTTTTTTTTTCAAGGCTATGGCAAGCGCTTACAAACACTCTGAATAATGATGCTTAGAAAGTGTAGCAAGAAAAATTATTAAGTTCCTTCAACCGTTAGCATGCCACCAGACAATGTTTATCAAGTAAATGCTATAAAATTTCAGTTTAATTGCGTATAAACTCACCGAAAGGTGTATGGAAGACTCATTACGAAAGCACGCGGTAGAAAATATATGTAAGTTTGCCTTGTGAATGAAAGCATCGAAAGCTAAAATGATTTCAAGACGTTTGGACTTCACTTTAAAGACCTTAGTGCTTCAACTCACCAATCATGCTTGAATGTTAGCATTCCACCAGGATTATAAAAGTTTCACTATGAAAGAATGCGGTAGAAAACATACAATAGTTTGGCTTGCGAATGAAAGCACCGTTGGCTTTATGAAAACTTCAATATAAATTTTGAAAAACTCGTGGAAGGTTGCATTGCGAATGAAAGCATTTAAGCTTTATGAAAGCTCGGAAGTTCGAAAATCGAACGCAAAGCTTTTTAATATACTTTATATTTATATTTATTTTGAAAGCACTGTAAGTAAGCT